AGTATTTTTTCCTAGCAATTTGATGCTACCTCAAATTTTTTCGCTTTTTTTCTAATTACATTGATGATAGTATTTTCTTTTTATGAAACATTTCGAACAATAAAATGTTTTGGTAAACAGTTTGTACTATGACTAATCTTCTCGACAATGGTTTGATTTTGGAAGTATTGTGAAAAAACATTTATCAAAACATGGCTTTCAATGGTTCAGTAGCATTGTCTCATTTATAGGCTTTTGAAACATATTTCTTTACATATCATAGTCATCGTGCTGCTGTAACTACTGTAAATTAAAAAAAAATTTTTTTTTAAGTTTAAAAAATTTTGAAAAAAAAATTTTTTTTTATTGCTTGTTACCGTAGATTGCTACATAGAATATACATTGTATATGGTGGTATTGAGTATTTACTGTACGTTTTTATATTGAGTTTTTACTGTATTGCTACATATATATATATATGTATTTATATTAGGGCCCGACATAAAGAACCCGCCATATTTTGCCTGTAATTTCCTGTAAAAGATAGCGGGTTCTTTATGTCGGCACTTAATATATTTATTATATTTTTTTACATTTTGTATTTACTGTATACCACCACATATATACATATATAGATACTAGGTGCCGCTATAAAGAACCCGCCATACTTACTTTTCTGTAAAAAATGGCGGGTTCTTTATGTCGGCACCTAATACATTTATTACATTGAGTATTTACTACATATTGTTACTGTTACATTGTGTTCACATATATCTATACACTTATATTCAACATCTTTTTGAGTGTTATGTTATTTTCTTTTCAATTTTAATCAAAAAACGCGATTCTTTCAGGTATAGAAGAGCAGCACACTCAAAGGCATTCATCTGAAAATCACTTGAAAGTCAAATGTTTTGTTGTCAAACCACGGTTTTTTACTTTACAGATTGCATCAACCCGGGGGGATTGTTTCTGCCACTTTTCGTTTATTTATTTTACTTTTTCACGTTTGAAATGGGGGGGGGGAAGGGATGGGGGAAGGGGAAAGGACGGTGAAGATGGAAAGGAAGAGAAGGTAGAGGGGACGGGGAGGAATTGGAAGGTAATGGGGGAGTTAGTGGGGGAGCAGAGGGGGGGGGGAGAGGAGTACAGATGGTGGGGGGGGGGCAGTACAGAAGGTGGAGGAAGGGGAGGGGGATAAGAGAAAAAGTAGAAATATACATAAAAAACAATTTACTGGGCTTTTACTGTACTGTTTACACTATCAGTATTTTGGCTTTACTCTAGCCTATATCGTATCTTATACTCTATCACTAATCTAGCCCTACCCTAGTCTACACGGTATTTTTCTAAGAAATATGATATCGCGGTACCTTGTACTTAAGCCTTATTCTAGTTTTACTTAGGCTAAAAGTCTATCCTAGCTTTACATTAGCCTAGCCTTCGCTCCCACACTAGCTCCTATCCTACCACTGGCTTTACCCTACTCTTCCTACCTCTGCCTTATCATAGTACTGATCTTACCCTAGCCTCCATAGCTCTATCTTACCTTACACTTCTTACATCTACCTAACCTTATCATTGGATTTGCACTACTCTTCCTATCTCAACCCTACCTTACCCTCCCTACCTCAACTCCGATCTCTACTACCCTCACCACTCCACGCCTTAACACACTATCATAAAAGTGCCAAAGATCATATCACGGCGAGAACGTGGCCATCTGTCTACGTTGGTTGTGTAATAACATAAAAATTAACGTTAATAGTCATAACCTTATGGTTTATGCGGTATTCTTTGATCTGGTCCTTATTGAAAATGTTATTGTTCACACAGCTGTCATTAGATCTTTGACAAGTTTTTGAACAGGTTTTGGTGTTTTGCCTCAGGGCGTGGTGGTGGGTTTTTCATAATTTTGAAATTTTAAAATTTCAAATTAAAAAAAATTTTTTTTTCAAAATTTAAAAATAAAAAAAAATTTTTGCGTCTAAACCTACTTACTACAATATATTTTAAACAAACCCCCTCCCCCCCCAAATATAATTTAGTACTCCCAACTCCACAAATAACATATTGTAGTAGTCATACCTGTTCAAACCATATGTTGTAGTAGGTAAACTACAAACCGTGGTAGGCCTAAAGCTGTGTAAATTTCAATTTCAAAGATTTTTGTTCAATATTTCAAAATTTCAAAGCGGCCGAACTTTGGTTTAGCTCAAAAAACCAAAAAAAAAATGATTTGTTTACAAAGCTTTCGGGAAGGAAAGATCAAAATTTTGAATTTTTGAAGTGAATTTTGTACCTTACTACGTTTTGAACAGCTGTTTTTGGTACAAAAACAACAATATTTGGCTTGTTTTTGTTTGAAAGCTTATATTTGCTGTTAAAATAAATATTTCATTAAAAAACCGTGTAACAGAACTTTTAGCGCACGTATAAGAGCCATTTTTGGTTGTTTGAAGCACTAAAAATAGCCAAACATGGTCATTTTCTCTAAAAAAACTTGCATTATTAGGTACCGACATAAAGAACCCGCCATACTTTGTCCGTAATTCTCTGTAAAAAATGGCGGGTTCTTTATGTCGGCACCTAATATCACCAAATCCTGACTAATATAAGCAGGAAACAACATTCATTATACGAAATTGAAATCCTTGCTATATTAACCGCAAGAAATCCTTGTAATATTCACCACAAACCTATGTTTGTATACGTTAGAACCAAAGAAACATTGAAAAACGTTTTTCCCAACAATCAAAGAGACAAATCGAACTTTTTCGTCCAACTTTCTTCCACTTTTTGTTGTACTTTGTTTGCTTTTTTGAGCAAAAGTTGAGTTATGGAGAAGGAAGTGAAAAAGTAAGACAAGTTACTTCAAAAAGTTGAAGTAAAAGGTTAAAAGTAAACTTGTGATCTACAGTACTGTAAAATGTGAAAACATGATTTATTTTTCTTTTAATTTTAAAAATTACTGTATTTTGTTTTAAATGTTCTAAAAGGTAGAGCTAAAGAAAAGGATAAAGTTGCTCAGACTGAAGTTTAGGCTTTGGCTTAGGTCTAGGCTTAGGCTTAGGCTTAGGGCTTAGGCTCAATTTCAGGATTAAGCTCAAGCTAAGTTTTAAGCTCAAGCTCAAGCTCAATCTCAATTTCAATCTCAGTTTCAGCTTTAGGCTCAGGCTCAGGCTCAAGCTCAGGCTCAGGCTCAGGCTCAGGCTTAAGCTCATGCTATTTAAAACTTTTTGTTATAATGCCGTCTTAAAACAAGATGCTATCGCTAATTTGCAGCTTGTGTTGTTACACTTTTGGCTTGCGTTTTCGAACGTGATTCAGCTTCGAAACAAACAAAAACTTTGGTTTTCCTCGGATTATTCGAATTATTTGGAAAATATAAAAATGGTTTTGTTTGTTTCCTGGTTGAAGACCAAAAGGGTAATATGCAAATGGTGTGTAATATTGCGTCATTTTAAATTTTTAAACTTTGAAATTGCTATATATGGATTACTGTAGGTAGGGTAGGGTAGGGTAGGATAGGGTAGGGTAGGGTAGGGTAAGGTAGGGTAGGGTAGGGTAGGGTAGGGTAGGGTAGGGTAGGGTAGGGTAGAATAGGGTAGGGTAGGGTAGGGTAGGGTAGAATAGGGTAGATTAGGGTAGGGTAGGGTATAAGGTTATGCTCTGTTGTCTCTTGACGGCTTTTTAAAGTGTAAATTAAAACTTTTACACTGTAAATCGATGTTTTTTCGAAAGTTTAAAAGTCATTTCTCGAGATTTTGTGCAAGTTCTTCTCTCATCGCTCATTGCAACTTTAAACTTACTTTGTTTTTCTGTTATCTGATTGTAGTTTTTGATTTGTTGTAGGGTCTGAAGGTTTATATATTAATATAATCGCAGTACAGTTAAGTTTGAGTTGTATATAACATAGCAAATATAAAAAATTTTTTTTTGTTTGAAGTAGAGCTTATTGTTAATTTCTCTATGGCATAACTTGATCAAGATTGAAAAAAGGTATAGATGCGACTAGGGTAGGGTTATACTAGTGCTAAGTTAGGGCTAGAAAAGTGTTTGTGAAAAGTTAGGGGTAGGGTGGTTTCAGGTTTTTTATACAAAATATTAGGGGTCGACATAAAGAACCCGCCATACTTTGCATTTAACTTTTTGTAAAAAATGACGGGTTCTTCATGTCGGCACCTAATAAAATACCTTCAAATGCATTTAAAATTTAATGTTTTTAGTAAAATGTTGATAAAATTTCACAACGCCATAAAGTCTCTTGCTTTCTTATCTTGAAATTTCGTTAACTTATAGTAAAAAGCGTAGTCTATTCAGTAACAAATAAGTTTTTTGCATTTTTTCTACAAAACTGACATATGATCTGTATAGTTAAAAAAAAGTTTTGGAAAAAAAATAATTGCCATTATTGAAAGAATTGATAAATGGTTATTACATTTTACAATGCCTTACTCTCTTTTATTTTAGTGTGTTTCTCAATAAGGCAAGGCTTGGAAAAATACAAAAAATTTTAAATTTTTGAAATGAGGATTGCACTTTTTGTTAAATACCACTTTTGTTTAAAAACACATTGAAAAAAGTTTCATTTTACTTTAGTAAGGTTTAGTAGAGTATGGTAGGATAAGGTAATTTGACAAAATCAGCCCTTTGTTGTCATAAACACATTGCCTTTGAAGAAACAAAAACACAATGTAAACCAAAGAGACGTCCGACACAACTTGAGTGAGGTCGCAAGCATGGTGGTCTGACTCGACTTTATAACATTTTAGGTCCATTTTCGGGAAAAAACGGTCGTAAATCAGGAACCCCCCCCCCCATTTCACATTAATATAGATAATGAGCCGTATGTACGGTAATTTAAGGGTTGTAAAAATCGCTTTACTGCTTTTGAAATAGTGTTGTAAAGGGGGGAAATGAGTTGTTTCACAAAGTTTGTCAATTTTGAAATAAAGTTAGTTTCGTACCATAAGTTTCTTTGTTGTATACAGTTTAGACCTAGGCCTAGGGGTAAGCCTATGCTAAATGTAAGCGCAGGTTAAATATAAGTTTGTTTTAAGCTTATGTTTAATCTTAGGCTCAAGCTCAAAATCAAGCTCAGGCTCAGGCCCAGACTCAGTCTCAGGCTCAGGCTTAGGCTCAAGCTAAGTTTTAAGCTCAAGCTCAATCTCAATTTCAAGCTCAAGTTCAAGCTCAGTTTCAGCTTTAGGCTCAGGCTCAAGCTTAGGCTCAGGCTCAGGCTCATTCTCAGGCTCATTCTCAGGCTCAGGCTCAGGCTCAGGCTCAAGCTCAGGCTCAGGCTCAGGCTCAGGCTCAGGCTCAGGCTCAGGCTCAGGCTCAGTCTCAGGCTCAGGCTCAGGCTCAGGCTCAGGCTCAGGCTCAGGCTCAAGCTTATGGTCAAGCTCAAGCTCAAGCTCAAGCTCAAGCTCAGACTCAGACTCATTTAGTGGACGTACGTTGTCTGTCCTCTAATCTAAGCTTGAGTTTAAATCCTAGGCTTATAATGCCAAGTCATGTTAACCTAATAATACCAAAATTAAGAAATTAAGTTTATAAAAACTAAAGCAGTTTAACAAAAAAAGCCATAAAAAACACCTGCCAAAACGTGTGGTTGCAAAGAAATGCGGTTATACAGCTCGTAAATTTTGATAGCAGATGGTTAATAATACAGTCCCAAAACCAATTATTTCAAGGTGATTGCGGTTTTACAACCTTGCTTATTACGAAGTGCCTTTTATTGCTAAACTTGGTTGTAATGGACTTTAGGCTTAATTAAGATCTGTCGTTACGCTATAAAAACCTAAGCCTAAAATAATTTTTTTTTCGAAAAATTTTAATTATTTTTATAAATATTAGATTGTTCAATTAATTCTGTGCTCTTCCTTAAAAAAAGTAGAGGGCCAGAGGACACAGAATTATTTAAACTACCAAACATTTTTAAAATTTGAAACGTGTTGTCGTTTGCCATTTCTTTTTGACACAAACAAACCTTAAACAACCCTGTTTGTTTGCCGCAATTAGAATATTTGCGTTTTAGTCCAGACTAACAGTTATGGCGGCTCGAATTTCCCTTTGTAAATTAATATTACATACGCAGGTAATCGTATCTTACCGACTTTTGGCCCTTTAATGGGGCTTGAATTACTAGTTTCTGAAAGTGGTTTGCAGAGAGTGTAAAGAATGAAGAGACGGTGCAAAGAAAGAGAGAAGGTTTAAGTCTTTTTTAAACTTTGGGCTATTGTAGGGTTCAAAGCTGGCTTATGCTTAGACTTTAACTTCAATTTAGGCTTAGTTTTAGGCTCAAACTCAGGCTCAGGCTTTGGCTCAGGCTCAGGCCTAGGCCTAGACCCTGGTTCAGGCTCAAGCCCGGGCTTGGGCTCAAACTCTGGCTCAGGCTCAAACCCAGCCTCAGGCTCAGACTCAAGTGCCGAGGCTTAGGCTCAGGTTGAAGCTCAGGCTCATGTTTAAACTTAGGTTCAAGCTCAACCTCAGGCACAAGCGCAAGCTCATGCTTAGGCTCAAACTCAGGCTCAAGATGGGGCTCAAGCTCAGACTTTGAATTAATCATAAGCCCAAGCTCAACTCTATGCTCAGAACCAGGCTTATGCGTAAGGTTAGTCTCAATTGCCAATCTAAGCTCAGATTTAGGTTTAGTATTTGGTTTAGTAAGCTAATAATTAGTAGTCTTTAGATTAAGCCTAAATTGCGGCTTAAGTTTGATCCACATGAACTTTGGTTTCATAGCCTTAGCACATTTTGAAAGCAAATTGCTAAAAATAGTAATAAACAAAGTTTCCAAACTAATCCGAAAAAGTCATTTAAAAAAAGTGCAAAACAAGTTTACGCTTGTACCGACTGGTAGAACGCTAAAGAGCTTTGAATAAATTGAATGCATTACGCTTGGAGGTCTCTTAATAGTATAATATTGTGAATCAAAGTTGCTTCTCTTTCGAATTTCATTGATACATGGGGGTTTTTATAGGACAGGTTCAAAATAGCAGTTTTTTTAAACTTTGAATTTTCAAAAAATTTTTTAAAAAATTTTATTTTTATTTTTTTTGTTTAAAATTTTTGAATTTTGAATTGAAAATTGTACAAAATTTTTAAAATGTTGTCAGATTAGCCTAAATTGTAGCAATTTTAAAGCTTTAGGTAATAAGTTGGATTAAGGGCTAACCATTGCAAGCTGTATCCGTTGTAGTATGTTGATTGATCTACTATATGTGAATGGTGTTTATTTTATAGTTTCGCAAGGTATGAAGCAAAAAATTTGTTTCCATTTTAAAATTAAATGAATTTTGCTTTGTAAACAAACTTTTTGCATTTTTATTTTGATTTATGATGGAAAGAAAGTTTATGCACTTTTTGGTCTATTTTAAAGTAAAAACAAAGTTTTTGCTGTTTTCAGCTGATTTTGCTTTAGTAGTCAGTTTTAAAAATAGAAAAAAAGTTTCTGCACTTTATAATCAATTTTTAACATGAAAAGAAAGTTTCTGCACATTTTGGTCGATTTTGCTTTGGAAAGAAAGTTTTTGCGGTTTTTCAATCAGTTTGTCACTTGGAAAGAAAGTTTTTGCGATTTTTAATCAGTTTGTGACTGGGAAAAAAATCTTTCAGCTCTTTCGGTCGATTTTAAGATGTAAAAAAAGTTTCTTCCTTGTTCGCTTCACAAAACAAAGAAAGGTGTCTTTTACGACCACTCAAACGACCCAGCCCCTGACGTAACCCATACGGAATATACGTTTTCGTGATTAGGCTTTGATCTCTTTCCCAAATATTCCGCCGATGCTCCGCTTTTATTTGCTTTTAATTTCGCGAGACTCTCGAGAAAAGCCTTTAAATCTCAGAAATGGCGATTTAATAACCAACAAATACCGATAAGACAAACACTGTAGGATTGGGCTAAAGTTAGGAAAAAGCTCGGTAATTTTAGAAAATATTTACTTTTAAAAATTAAAGGAGGCTTAGGCTTAATAGGTACAAATTTAGTTTTTTTCAGGCTTGAATTCGCAGGCTTAGACGTCTAGGTATAGAAAGATTTAGTTTATTAAACTTAGATTTCGTAGAGCTAGGCTTAGCTTTAGAAGCTCAGGTTTATTCTTAGGCATTAAGGCTTAGAATTATGTGCTTTAGGCTTAAACTTAGTAGGCTTAGGCTTAGTAGGCTTAGGCTTAGTAGGCTTAGGCTTAGTAGGCTTAGGCTTAGTAGGCTTAGGCTTAGTAGGCTTAGGCTTAGTAGGCTTAGGCTTAGTAGGCTTAGGCTTAGTAGGCTTAGGCTTAGTAGGCTTAGGCTTAGTAGGCTTAGGCTTAGTAGGCTTAGGCTTAGTAGGCTTAGGCTTAGTAGGCTTAGGCTTAGTAGGCTTAGGCTTAGTAGGCTTAGGCTTAGTAGGCTTAGGCTTAGTAGGCTTAGGCTTAGTAGGCTTAGGCTTAGTAGGCTTAGGCTTAGTAGGCTTAGGCTTAGTAGGCTTAGGCTTAGTAGGCTTAGGCTTAGTAGGCTTAGGCTTAGTAGGCTTAGGCTTAGTAGGCTTAGGCTTAGTTGGCTTAGGCTTAAAGGTTTAGGCTCAGAGACTCACGCTTAGGCTTAGTAAGCTTATGCTTAGTCTTAAGCTTCGAATTCTTGGTTTTTTTGATTTGATAAGCTATGCTGATTAAGCTCAAACTTAAAATTAAAGCCTTGTTTTAAAATTTAAAAACAAAATTTTCACGTTGTAAACAAAGTTTCTTCATCCCTAATTTCACCATCTCTTTCCAACGGCAACAAGAGTTTAACTACTGTTTATCAGTTAAACTGTTCACCTCTGATGTTATGAAAAAACATCTAAAAAACAATAGTTTTTTGCTCAAAAATACGATTAAAAAGCAGCAGAAACTCTCGGTTAATCGACTGTTCGAACGTAATTTGTCATACAACTCGTGAAATTCAGGGCCGTTATTCAAATAGATAAATGATACTATATCGGTAGTTTATACAAGAGTTTTTTGGCTAGCTTCTTGTTCCTTATTGATGTCATATCAGCCAGAGATCAAGGGGATATATTGCAATAGAGTTTGATTGGTCAAATAGACAGTTTTTGGTTGGATCAGCTAAAATAAATAGTTATTACATAAGGCTTTGTTAAGGTTACATAATGTTTTGATATAACAAGATAGCCTTAGAGAAATTGCAAAAAACAGAGTTACGCAACTTTTTTTGATGTAAGTTTATTTACTTTTGTAATTCTTGCCTTGATGTAAAACGACCCAAAAAATGACTGCAAGTGTTCGGATGTGGCTCTTTTTCCTCGAGGTATTGCATTGTTTGTGCTACAGTTTTTTTTATTATAAAGAAGCCTAAGTTTACTAAAAGCTAAAGCTTACCGCTTGGTCTAAAGATTACTAAGCCTAAGTCTACTTTGTTTAAGCGTCCTAAGCTTAAACCCACTAAGCCTAGTGTGAACAATAAGCATAGCGGGTGCAGATTTTTTTCTATGAGACTACGCTTTAGGGCAAAGAAGAAAGTCAGGAAGGAAGTAAGGCTAGGATAAAGTTAAAGTTAAGGAAAAGCAAGCTAGGGCTATGGCTAGCGTAAAAACTGAAACTAGGGCCCTTACTAAAGCTAATGCTATGAAATAAGGCTTGGGTTTTAGGTTCTGGGCTCTAGTACTAAGGTTCTGGTACTAAGGCTCTGGGCGAACGTTCTGGGCTAGGGTTCTGGACTGGTGTTCTGGTCTAGGGCTTTAGGATGAGCTTTGAACTATGGCTCTGAGCTAGGTTTCTGAGCTAGGACTCGGGGCTAGGGCTCTGGGCTAAGGCTGTGGTACTAGGGCTCTGGGCTAAGGCTGTGGTATTAGAGCTCTGGGCTAGGGTTTTGGACTAATGCTCTGGGCTAAGGCTCTGGGCTGAGGTTTTGGGCTAGAGCTGTGGGTAAAGCTAGGGCTAGGACTCATTATTACTTTTTTTGTAGTTTAATGCAGATTTAGCAAGATATACAGTTTTTCTACTCTACGTGTTTTAAAAATCCGATGATATCATTTTGAATTATATTAAACTGCAAACCATAAAAAAGTCTGAGAAAATCGGCGTTTGATCAAACACTTTGATCTTGACTTCTGAACTCTTTTTTGCACTTTTGTTAGTCAGAAAAGTCTTGTCGTTAATTTATGGGCTGTTTTATAAGAAAGAACGACAAAATTATTTTAAAATAAAATTTTGAAATTAAAAAAAAAATTTTTTTGAAATTTTAAACTTGACAAAGCTTATATTGTTATCATTTCGATTACATTTGATCAATTCACAACTTTTCTATTGTACAACATTATAGAAGACCCCTTGACAATAACAATTTGATGCTATAGATGAGCTGAAAAACAGGTCGGCTTCCCCGTTTGAAGTCAATGTTAACTACCATGCGAACAAATTACAATAACAGCCAACAACAAAAGATCTTCGGGGTCATTCGCTTTAAAAGTGCAGGTTTTTAATGATTCAGGGAGAAGCCGGCGGTTGGACTGGATTTGTGAGGGGGACGGGTTAGGCTGAATATTTTGAACTTGGCCAGGCTTTGTTAGACCAGAATTGTAAAGAGGATGGGTTGAGCTGAATTTTTTGATCTGGCGCACTATCTGGGGTTTGTTAGCCTAAACCTGTAAAAGTGACGGACGGGACTGAGTGTTTTGACCTGGCCTACTGACTGGGGTTTGTTAGCCTAGACCTGTAAAAGTGACAGATTGGATTGAAATTTTTTGATATGGTCTAAAGGCTGAGATTTGATTTTGGTCGTGGCTCTCGGGCCTAGGTGTTTCCATTTGGTCCAGTCTTCTTCAAATTTCTGTTAGACCTGACCTTTTTGTCTATCTCTTATTAAGAGGCCTACTTTGCCCCACATCTTAGCCATGCTTCATTACTACACCAGCCATAACTTACATTACTATGCTTTGTCTTGATCTACCTTACTCAACTACTATGCTAGGTTTACACTAACTTGACCCTAGTCTTACTCTGACTTTATCATGCTCCTACGCCAGCCTTGTCTTGCCCCTTTGCTAGTACTTTCCTGACTTTAACTTGTCTCTACTATAAGTCTACTCTGGCCTGACCTTGCCCTATCCTAGTGATAACTTATTTCTGTTCTGATCTTACCTCGCCTTCACCCTAGCTCTTTCTTGCTCTTACCCTGATCCTACATTATCCGGTACCCGACCCATACCTTGCCCCTACTCTAGCCGTACCCTAGTTCTGTCCTGACCTTACCTTGTTCTTACATTATCCAGTACAAGGACCATACTTTGCTCCTACTCGAACCATGCCCTAGTCTTGCCCTTACCTTTCCTTTCATCTACCCTGACTTCACGTTGTCCTTGCT